TTGTGCCTTCTGCTATAAATCAATCCGGCTACGTACCATATCTGTCTCTCTATATAGAGGATCGGGGCATTCTATAGAATAGATATAGATATAGATATAAGCAAGAGCATATAAAGAAGGTGCTTCTTTATATGCTCTTGATATAAGTATTCTACAGAAGGCGAGGAGCTGAGTCGGCTAGGTCATGTATGCCCAGCTGTAGAGACCGATACGGTAGCCGGGTAAATTTATAGCGGAAGGCACGAAGGCAAAGTGACGTTTTGCAAGCTCTACCGTTTTTATTACTATATTGTGTTCCATAAACTGTACTTTCTTCTTTTGTATCATATATGCTGGTTGATTGCACGTAGCATTTCCTGTTGTCACAGTTGCCTTTTTTATTTAATTATAGAAAGATTAACAGTGTAAGATATACAGCGTATGATAGTGTACATCCAGTGTAAGATATACAGTGTAATATAACACTTTTCGGCTATTAAATATATACGTAAACTGTGTATGTAACTTCTTGTTGTTGTCGTTTTTTTCAACCGAGGAAAGATTCCTAATTCTTGTAATGGAAACCCATTTTCTGCTATACATATATTCAAGAACGTATTAAGAAGGTTACACCTTCTTAATACGCTCTTGATATATTTCAGTAAACATATATACACTTATAAGAACTTTCCCCCGAATCGGAAGAGCGTTCGTTTTATATGTCATAAAAGATATGTAGGATAGTACAGTAGTTTGAACGAGAATCCTGTTAGATGCGATATTATCAATGAGTATTTGGGCAACAGTGAAAGCGGTCATGACCATGCACTGATCTGTATACAAACAAGTAGTAACCAGAGCGACATGATATAAGATTGCGTGGCACAGCTTTGCTGTTGATCCTGAGCGCTGCGCGCGGATGAGAGGCGCAGGGCAGTTTCGCGAGATATGCGCACGCGACCGCGGGGATGTTAAAGTATGAAGCGCTGTCCGCAGTGGAGACGTGCGCCAAATTCGAGGCCCGGCGGCGAGTTTCCGCACGTCTCCACAGCGGGCAGCGGATGGTCTGTAGTTTTAGAAGATAACAATAAAGAATTTGTTCTAAATAAGAACTATCGGCGGCTAAATAAGAGCAATATACAGACCTTTGAATTTCTTGACTAGTCAGTCAAAGGGCTTGTTGGGGGTCCATTATGCAGAGCTTCCAATTGAAATGGCCCATGAAATTGTCAAGTGCAATTGTGTTTTTCGGAACCCCAAAGAAAATGTCTCCCTCTTACATGCACCCCCTCCCTGATCAATCACGCATTCAGGCGTCAACAATAACAGAGATGAAATTGTGTTGAATTTGTGGCTCTTGACGCACGTGCATTGACCTACAAAACTGTTGAAAGCAGTGCACAGGCACTTGAAACGTCTCAATAAAAATAAATATTTACACAATTTTTCACAATGATCGACCGCCTGTGTGCAATATAGGTGAACGTATGTGAAACATATACGGTTAGTACTTACTGTACTTACGGTTACATATCCGTGACTACAGGGGCGGATCCAGGTTTTTTGAAAAAGGGGTGTCCAGGAAGAAATAAAGGGCACTTTTTCCTGCTTACCTTTTCTGGTGTTTTAAAAAGCTGCCGAAGGCCACTTAGGGGGTTTTGGGGGAGGTCCCCCAAGATTTTTAAAAAAATTGGTGCATTCTGAGAGCATCTGAGTAGTAATTTTGTATAGTCTAGAATGCAAAAATTTATCAGATCCGGTCCCCCGGACGCCTGCGGACCCCTCTTTGCCCATTTCTAGGTTTTTATAACGACTTTACATATATATAAGTAAATCTTTATCACAAAAACTAGCGCTAAACAATATTTTTTTATGGAGACAATATAAGAGAAGTGTGTGTGTGACTGTGTGTGTGTGTGTGCGCGCGCGCGTGCGTGCGTGCGTGCGTGCGTATGTATGCTTTTTTTCCTTTTCTGTGGTAAAAAGGGGGGGGGGGTCCGGACCCCCTCGACCCCCCCTCTGGATCCGCCCCTGGACTAACTGACACCACTAAATTGGTAAAATGTTCCATGCACCTTACGAAATGCTGAGAAATTACAAGGTTATCATCGCAGAACTCCCGAACACCGTAAGCCTACGTCACAAAGCTATATATGCAAACAAACACGTACGCGTGTTGCCAGGTGCCTGCATGCCTCCGATATCCATTTCGAGGCCCGCTAAGCCAAGCATAAAGCACGCGGGCAAGACGTCACACACACGTCTACTACGTACGTTCATTGGCTAAAACAATCGAGTAGCGCAGTTAGAGATTTTCGTAAATATTTAATTTGAAGAAAAACTTTAATGTTCAATTATTGACACTCGTTCAATTCCGCCAGCGAGGAAAAATTCCGAAAATTTTCCACTTTGATGCAAAATGCATCGGCTGGGCATTTCATTATTTACGAAAAGTAAACAGGCTGGCGAAAGACAGTCGGTACAGTAACTGCATGGTCACGTCGGTGACGCCCCATTCATGTCCATCAACAAAGAAGGCGAGGCTTATTCTGATTACAGAGATGCGAAAATTCAACAGAAGGACGGAGCGCAGTGCGTTAAACAGCGTGTTATGTTTGTATCAGGGGCGTGATCAGGGGGGGGGTCCAGGGGGTCCGGACCCCCCTCCCCCTGCTCGCGCAGAAAACGCATTTAAGGGGGTCTAATTTCAAAATTTTTCTGGTGGAGGGCCCTTCAGACCCCTCTCCTTCACGTGCTTGCAAGTTTGTGTTACGGTTAGACCCCCCTCCCCTGGTACAAATCCTGTACACGCCCCTGTGTATTTGTGGCAATCTCTATCGTAGGAAACCGTACTTACATAGCAGAATGCCATAGTTCTTGAGATCGGCGATTTGGTGGTTCAATGGGTCCCCATCTTTAAAAATATCAGAGACTAGTGCGGCGTAGGCTGTGATTGGAAGACACAAAGTGTCAATCCTCGGCGCGCTTTGGCATCATGGCCGCATCACGTCTAGTAAGTGGAGCTGAAAGGGTCTATGTCCCCCAGGGTACTGCCGGATCACGTACCCTGGGTACAGTCCGGTATACCGGAACGTTTACCCTGGTACTATCTAATATGCCGGACCGTACCTCGCCTACTCCACTAACGAGTCTAGGAAGTCGCCTACGCCTACTTCCTAACGGTAACCCTAACCCTAATCCTAACCATATCAGATAGTTACCAGGGTACGTTATGGGGGACATAGCTATATGAGCGTAATTAAGTGGAGATCAGTGTCAGTAGATCCTCGGGGGGTCACTATATGTGCCGGTATTACCCCATGTGCGTTCTCACTAAAAATAATAGGCCCCCTAGTGCGAACTGCACATTGGAAAACCCTACCCCCTATTGCAGACACAATTGAAAAGTACCGGCCACCCCCTATTGCATACACAATGAGAATATCCCACACCCTATTATACACTCCTGATACACAATGAAAGAGTCCTACCCGGACCCCTACACCCTATTGCGAAGTCTTGCTCATCTTGCTCTTCGTGATGACTGATGATTGTTGTAGCCAACGGCGTAGCCAGGATTAAATCTGAGGGGGGGGGCGGCAATGAGTTCGAGGGAGCGGAGCGCCCGAGGGAGGGGGGG